TTCTCTCTCTCTCTCTCTCTCTCTCTCTCTCTCTCTGTCACTGTCTATCTTACTAGTAGCCTTTAAGACTAGCAAGTCCACTGCACCTGGGGATGATGGAATCACTTATGGCATCACGCGATATCTTCTCGAGCTCTCCAACTTGCCTGCTACTTGAAAACAAGCAATTGTCATTAACATTTCAAAAACCAGGACAGCCTGATGAATATAGGTCGAGTTCTCTGACACTCTGTCTCTCTCAGGACTGTGAAAGAATTCTTGCTCGTCTACTTCGCCAGAACAAAGATCAGATCCATTCATCTGTCTTCGGTTTCCAAAAAGGGAAAGGAACACAAATTTGTTTAGTACAATACCTAAATGGAAATAATAAAGTCTTCTTCATTGATTTCGAGGGAACGCATGACAGTACTTACCCTACTGCAGTCCTTCTTAACTTAACTAGTTTTAGGCTTAAATAACAAGCCTCTGTTATGAAGAAAGCATTATCTACTACCAAGGCATCTACCGAGATATGGTGAAATAGAACCAGACACTCCAGAAGCGGGAATATTGTCCCCTACACTTTTTGATATACTACTGCACTCTCTTTGCAAGCTCAACACTGAGTTAGGAAACCCATGCAGCTTCACAAGCTCTCCTGGTGACATTCTCATTCAAGTCTTTAATCGTGGGATTGTGTCTTACAAGGATTCAACAACAATTAAGAAGCATAGGTAAATAGCCAACTCATCAGTAACTCTCGAATTCTTCGGGTGTTTGTCATCACACGAATAAGAAAAGAAAATGGAATAGTTTATCATTCGTCTGATGAGGAACTCTTGAAGGGTTCGAAACGTCACGATTTATAAACATATACATATATATGTGTGTATGTGTACACACACATCACACACATAACACACACACACATATATATAATATAATATAATATATATATATATACACTCGTACATACATACATAATACATATATTATATATATTTATATATATATATATATATTATAATATAATATATATATATAACGAATACACACACACACACACCACCACACACACACACACACACAACACACACACACACAACACAACACACACACACACATATATATATATAAATATATATATATATATATATATATGTATATACACACACACACACACACAACACACACACACACACACACACACACACACACACACACACACACACACACACACACACACAGACACACACACACACACACACACACCACACACACACACATATATATATTATATATATATATATATTATATATATATATATATATAATATATATACACACACATACACATACATACATACATAAATACGTACACATTTATATATACCATATATGAAACAGAGCTAAATCAAGACCGGGGAAGACACAGCATCCGAGCATTAAAAGCTCTTGCTTATGTGCAAAAACGTATAAACATTTTGCAACGAGCAATGTATCAATATTGCCGACTTTCATCACACAAAAAATGTCAACACTCTACTACTTTTCATCACACATTTTGTTCGAACTGCTTCGCCGCATATTCGGTCGAGTATCTGCATCACATTCACGAATGACAGCCTAAATTTTATTTTGATATGAAATGTAACTTCAGGTGATTAGAAGCTTATGTGTGTGTCAATACTCCGACATAAGTAGAAATATACTATCAGCCAACTGCTAATTTATGCGCGACCAAGCCAAAGTGACGCGTTCAAACACACAGAAAATACGAATAATTTCGGAAGAATAATAATTTTTCTATAGCTAGAAAAAGACCATGAATGCAAAAAAAGATTAATAAGAAATAACAGAAATTAAATCATACAAAAAAATTAGTAGAATCGACAGAATATCTAATGAATATGCCAAACACGCAAACACAAAAATTTAATCTTACGTGAAACACATATCCCTGAACCAAATAAAAACATCAAACTGCCAAGAAAACAACAAGAAAAATCCTAAAAGCAATAAAACGAGTCAAAAACCCGAAAAACGGAAAACCACGGTGACCATTCTGCCAGAAATCTTCGCGAACACACACACCAAGAAATCGACATCAAGGGAAAAACATTACATTGGATGACAGTTTCAGCTCTACATTATTAGCTGATTTTGACCCATTTCCCGGTGGTTGTATCATGCCATCGAGTATACGTTACCAGCCAGTGAGTATTGAGACCAGAGACACACAATTAGATACGTGAGAGGCGATATTCAGGCGAAAAATGGGGTCAACAGCTGAAATGCACAAAATGAAGGTCACGGAAGATTATATATCAGTTGTTGACGTCGTGTTTTTTTAGGAAATTTGAATCTCTCTGGAGGTTCTTTTGGGGTTCGGAGATACAGGGTGTGTGTATTGTATTCTTGAAATAGTTTTCGGGGCAGAATGGTACTAAATTGGGTGTAAACGGTGCGAGATGTCACGGCTGTTGGTGGCGAGGAACAGAATGTTTATGAATTCTGAAAGACATTCGTTTTTCTCACGTGATAAGTTCCAGACATTTCTTTTTTGGAAGCGTCGTTTTCTCCGTGTTTCTTTGCGTGCGGTGTGAAGTTTGAAATATGATTGTTACTTGGAGATTGTCAGATGAAAGTAAATGACAGATGATGATGAGAACACTTTCCAAAAAGTGATTTCGTGATATTTGTGGAGATTCTTATTCATTTTTTTCATTACCTTTCAGTTTTTAATGGTTTGTATTTTACAAAGAACACATTAAAAGAAAAAAAATCCATGGAAAATATTGTCTGTAACTATCAATATTTCATTAATGGGTAAGTTTACAGCGGATAATGATCAGTTACATTAAAGAAAAGTGTATGGAATGATTACCTTGACGTAAGTTAAAACCCTCTTCATCTAAGGCATAAGGGGCACAAATAAAAATAAAGGAGATACATGACTGAAAGAGAGATCGACCCATCTTTTTCTGTCGCTCTCACTATGTTGACATCACGGATGTAAACAATACTGTGACCGCTTAACTCATTCCTGCGACCTTTCAAGTAGTTCATGTATTACTACGTGCTTTGAAGACAACTATTTGTAAATCTCAATGTCGATTTCCAATTTCATGTACTTGCGCATTCCTCTATTTTTAGTACTTTTTAAAAGTTTTTGATAATTTTATGATATTCTTTACAAAAACCTAATGTGCATTTGCACTTTCCACCGGGACTTTCAAGACATCGTGACTGCCATCGTGAGGAATGTTTCATTTTCACTGTTGCATCTGTTCTGGATCCTTTGTAAAAACAATATACTATCACAGCTTGATTGAGCCGTAAAGTGCCCTGAAGTGCTGGAAAAAGTGTTGGAAACAAAGGCATCCAGAAAATACATAGGAGCCAAGGAAAGTTTGGTGTCTCAAGAATGAAGGTGTTTGGTTTATTCGTTAAGGTGTGTATGCAGCTCTATCTCCGTACATACCAATGTGAAGAAAATGTTTCCCAGGGGGTGTTGGGGGGCAGAGCCCCCATCAACCCTCCCTCGGGCAGTGTCTGAAGGCACGCCTAGTCACAACAACGTAGATTGTTGAATAAAGTTTGTGACATGGAATTAGGTTGCTCAATTGGTCAGGATGTATTGGGTGGTGTGAATTCCCGTAGAATTTACACGAAAGTTGGGTTTTTAAAAGATTTTTTAAAGTAGGCGCATCAGCGCTAGACTTTCAGAGATGGCAGACATGTCCTAGATTTTCGTTAGCTGATATTTAATTTTTTTTTTGTGCTGGTTTACGCATTTCTGTTATCTTCTTATTTCAGCTATTTTTTCCCCATAATTTCCCGATATACTTCATGCCCTCCCCTGCTATTGGGACTTAACACATCAAGATTGTTGGCTGTGATTGCTACGGAAATAACCATCAGATTCGTTCTTGTCACACGAGAATAAATCTGATGATATAGATATTGTCTGGGAAATCCTGATTGTTTATAAATGGTAAAATAACTCATTAATGATTAGTTAAAAAAGGAAATAGTAAGATGGCAACAACTTGCTTATATGGTACACCTGTTCATCTACCAATGGTTTCTGTGCCTTCTGCAGTACTAGCATATCACCAATATTGATATGCTGATAGAGTAGAGCTGTAAATGTCCTTGATAATTATTATCAAATAAGGAACCACTCAAAACTGTCTGGTTGCTTGATATTTTGGAGCAGTTGCAGTCGTGATGTGATATAGGTGCCCTAATTATGGTGCAGTTTGTTTAAAGTGTGCTAACTGCAACTTATATTTTTTCAACTTTGCAATATTTCTTAAGCATACCAAACAGAAATGTAACCATTTATCTCCAAATGCAGTTGTAAGGACTAAGCTGTTGTAGCAAGCGCTTAATGATAATTGCAAACAGATTAATTGTGTACTAATTGGAAGATGATGGGAAAAAGGTGGTGCATGCCAGTATATGTCCTAATGCCTTTCTCCTTGAAAAAGAGCATTACTATGATAGATAATGATATAAACATTATTTTGGAGCTGAAGTAGTTCTGCTATAGTATTCTTGAAGAACCCAAAGAAAGGTAATTTAGTAATTTACAACAGATAACAATCAGAGTTACAGTAAAAAAAAAAGTGTATGGAATGATGATCTTGAAGTAAACTGGGACAGTTTTCAACTATGGCATAAATTATGCAAACTGAAAATAAAGGAGATACAAGCCAGAGAAGAGAGAAGAATGACCATCTTTTTCAAAGTTAGTCTTATTCTGTGACATTTTTAAGCCTATAAGGGTGTATCAAAGAAGTACAGAATGATTTTGAAGACCTTCATCCCATCTAAGTCAGTACTGCATCAAATGATTCAGACTCACTGAAAATTCTCTATAGTAATCTCTCTATAGTAATCATTAATAAGTATTCATTTAAGGGAGTATAAAATTAAGCTGAAAAATATTCCAAACTACTTCTGTAAAGAAAGGGTTAAAATCCATCAAGAATTATTATTAATGATAAACAGTAAGTGTAAATAGCTAGATAAAGTATAAGGAAACCCGAATAACCATTGCTGCCTTGGTGAATGCCAGGCCAATTCTTACTCTGTCCCAGTGGGTTTACGGACAGCGAATGCCAACATTGCTACTTAGTAATCTTGGCATTCACCAGCAGACCCTAAAACAGCTTTGTATCCTTGACCTCTTTGTTACTTTCTTTGCTTCCAGCTTTTTCTTTCTATACGTGAAGTTGTGTATGTGATGGGACAGTAGTAGATGTGAGAAGCACTGTTAGATATCATATGAGCAGAAAATACTGGTGAGCAAAATGTTTGTTAATATTAATGGGTCATGAAATGAATCCAACAAAAGTTTTGTGATAGAGCTAACTTGTAGTAAATAAAAGCCAAAGGGAGGTGTGTGTGTGTGTATATATATATATATATATATATATATATATATATATATATATATATATATATATATTATATATATATATAATGTTGTAATAGGAAAGTAAGGAAATATCAAACTACATTACAGTTATTTAGATGTTTGCTTTTTACAAGGAAAGTGTTATTGGTAAATAAAAGATTTCGAAAAGAGCTCTGCTACTATTGTACGAATGAATAGGGTAGTTGGCATCGTATGAGGAAAGTTTGCAATGCTTCTATGGATTGATCTGTCAGCCTACATCAGTTTTGGTTCTTGTGGCAGAGGACATAAACTGGACTTTCCTTGTTGCCTCTGTATTTAGGATGGTAGTATGCCCCTGCTAGATTGTGAGGAGGGCCAAGGGTGGTGTAGTTCGAGTTCATAGTTTTGTAATGTGAGATTTATTATTTTAATAAGAATGGAACTTCCTGTAAAAGTTAGCAACATCGTTTAAGGCTAATTCATTAAAAGTTCCTGAAATCTATCTATCTATCTATCTAACTGTCTTTCCATCTATATATCAATCAATCTGTCTATCTATATATCAATCAATCTATCTATATATATATCAATCTATCTATCTATCTATATATCAAGCTATCTATATATAGATAATTCTTTCTTTAGAAAACTTTCTTATTTATTACATCATATTGTTAGGTTTGATTCAAATTTTAAGGCTCATTTTGTGTGTAAAGTTTGATATTTGAAATACTGGAGAAAGACTAATAATGTTTGCAGTTGTTTCCATAACTTCAGATGTCAAGTGCTGATTTTTTCGGTCTTTATTTAGAAACAAGTTTGAGAAGTCTTCGTGTTTCTCCTCTCTTTGTCGCAGTCACTTCCATATCCTCTCACTTTTGGGAAGTTGATGAAGAATTTAGTACGCTGAGTAGTATATACTTCATTTAATTTGTGTGATACTGCGGAGGTACTGTATATTGTGCATGAGGATAGATTTCAAGATCTGCTTCTAGGGAATTTATTGTTACTTCTAGAATTTGGTTACATTCAAGAGGCAGTAGGTTTTGCATTTAACATGAAATCTATGTATTTTCCTCACCAACAGTAAGGTGTTTTCAGAGTTTGTTAGTTATATTACCTGTCACGATCATGATTCGTAGCCAGAAAGTTAAAAAATGTGCAGTTCCCTTTTAGGGTGTGTCTTCGAAAGAAAAGATATTCATTACAGATAACTTTTTTGATGCCAAACCACACTCCAGAAATATCAGGTGAATGTACATCAGATAGGCATGATATGAATATATAATAACAAATCAGACTTCAGTTTGTCTTTGGAATTTCAGGTGCCATTATCAGAGGAGGACAGTGAGAGTATGTCTGGAGCCACTCCCAACCCGAGGCAGGAGGAGGCAGCTGGACTGAGTGCTGCTCCGCCACCGTACAGTGTATGTATCGTTAGTGAAGTTTATTTTGAGGGCATGGAGCTTTTGTTAATGAAGTTAAGAAAGGGGGAAAGGGATATATATTCTTAAGATGTGGAGGGCAGTCTGCCATGATAAGGTATTTCAAAGGAATTTGTGTTTAGTAAGGCATGATGCAGTGATGTCTCTATCAGTAGAAAGGATCTTTACTGCTTTGCACAGAAATAGAAATTGATAAATAACTTCAAAATATTTAGAACCTTGGAAACAGATTGATAATGTTTAATAGTGTTCTAGTTATTTTAGCTGTCTCACTTCCACTTTTAGACAAAGTTTCCAGCTGTTAAAGTAAACTAGTTTTGCCATGGTCTGTCATTTAAGCAATGTTATTACCTAGCATGATCAGAATTAGGTATTTTCCAATGTTGTCTGAAAACTGGAGGAATGTTGTGCTAATATTCTGTCCACCTTATTCATTCTGGGTTACCAATGTTGAGGCTTTGACAAAGGGAGATTTGTAGCAAGAGTTCTCAGTATACTTCTTTTCCTCCAGTCTAGTATATAGGAATTATAAATTTAATGGGATTTTAAGTCACTGAAGGCAAGGTCAGTAAAGTTGATTAAAGTGAGATTTTAAATTTCACAAGTTATTTTGAATTATGATAAAACATGCAGCAGATGTTAGATATTATGTGTATCTCATGACAGTAATCTGAAGAAGAAATTGTCAAAAATCAGGCATCAACATGTTTACAGAATAGATAAATCCAGATTTTAGATTGAGATGTGTCAGAAATTAAGATAAAATATTCCTTCTTTAAGATATTGGAAGAGTTATACTTTCTGACATACAGCTTCCTCATAAATTCATGATAAATTCCTTTCATTGCCCCAGGTGGAAGACTCGAACGATGGGGCCACATCTTCGACCCCCCCGGAAATAACGCCCCCAAAGCCAGACATGTATGCTCCTCCCCCTTATGAGGAGTGCGATGGCGACGAAGACTTCACAAGCTCCATGACAGCTCCTCTGACCAGCGAGTCGAGTGAGGTGCAGCCACCCAGTTATGAGGAGGTCCAGCGACTCAAGGCTATGGAAGCAGCTGAGGATTTCCCCCCACCTCATTGTCAGCGAGTATTTTGTGAAGAGTGTTGGGAATTGCGAAAGGTATAGGAGGCGGGCTGCAGTTTGTTGGGGAGAGGTGTTTTACCAAGCATTTGCATTTGCATTTGCCAGGTTTGGAGAGAACTTTTGTAGTGTTGTATGTAATGGCGTGAATGTACTTAGTACCGTGATTAGTGATTTGTCTGCTTAATGTTCTGGGTTTCTTTTCACTACATTATTATGTTATTATCATTTATTTTATTCTGCATAGTTACTGGACCAAGTTTATTTAAATGTATAGTGAAAATATTCTTGTGAGATTACCTGCAAAGTTGAAAAAACAGTGCATGGAAATTTGTGCTTTCAAAGAAATACTTGCTAACTTCATATTTTTGCAGGGAGGAGCGGCCTTGGGTGGCCCGGGGGGTGGCAGCAGTGGCAGTGGGATGCGGGTGTTCCGCATCTCCTCCCTCGGGGGACTGGACCCAGAGACAGCAGAGATTGCTGAGGAACAGCTTCTTGGGACAGATTTCATGTTCTTTGTAGCCTTTGCAGGTTAGTTTTTTTTTAATTTTTTGTGTGTTTGATATTATTTGAGTATATAAATTTTTATCATCTTTTTTCTTAATGTTAATTTTTTTTTTATTGCTTTATCTTTTTTCTTGTCTTATGCATCTCTTTCCACATTTTACTTAATTGTAATCTCTTTTCTCCTTTATGTATTTGCATTTTTTTGTTGCTCTTCTTTAGCTGTATGTTGAGTAATATTTGAAAGTCCAGTCTGTCACATCTAGCATTCAATAAGAAAAGTATTACCTTTATTGAAAAAAATATCCCTCACCTGTTTCTCTCATTCATTTCAGCTGCTTTTGTGTTCAACTGGGTGGGCTTTGTACTTCTCTTGTGTTTCTGTCATACTGTTGCTGGTCGCACCGGGGCACTTGCTGGCTTCGGGCTGTCCCTGGCCAAGTGGGCAGTGATTGTACGACACTCGACAGACCTGGTAGCAGACTCTAACACCTGGCTCCTGTGGCTGATCATGGCCCTGGGTAAGTTCTTTATGTGCCTGTTGTCATCCACAGGTGAATCAGCTTTTCCTTGCTCATTATAGCATAGGTTGGAATTGGTTAAGTCAGTCCAGATTATTTCATGGTATGGTTAGAAATGCTCCTTCAGTTGCCTGGATGTGAATGAAAAAACAGTAACTGTCATTATAGTGGAGGAAAACTGATAGCATATATAGTAGTATTAATTTTACTGAGCATTATAGAGTAAAGATGTGAAATTCATCATTATGGGACATCAGGGATTGTTTCAGATTTGCATGATTATTATTGCAGCTCTGTTGTTACATTTCACCAAGAATATTATATGATTAATATCTTTTAACCCCTTGGATCGGGTGCTTTGTGGCAGTCACATGGACCAAAATACAGGGCATTAGACTTACGCAAGCAGCTGCTCTGCAGGGTGTGGTGTGTAGGCTAGGCGCAAGCGAACACTTGTTTTGTAGTGACAAGACTCCATTCCTCCAATTTCCAATGTTATTTTCTCTTTTTCTGTATTAGCATTTTTAGCTTTTTTGTCATTTTCTACTGTCCTTGTTTATCATTTGATATCCTTCATCCAGATGGTAATAGACTTTTCCTGGCACAGCCTCCATATCATCCCTCTATATAGTAAATAACTTGGTGTAAGAAAAATTAAAATCTGTGACATTTTGTTACTTGTCATTTTATTTATTTTTATTTTTCGTAATATTCAGTTTTCTGTAATGCAACCTGCACTGCAGGTCACTGGTGCAGGAATAGGGTGCTGAGCATGGAAATCCTGTCATCCTGGAACCAACACTCTTTCAGTCATGGTTCACAGACATTACATTCTGCACTCTTTTTAACCCATCCATCCGGTGTCACATATATGAGACACAAGGAAAAAAATAAACAGTTTCGGGCTGCCCGCCAGTGCGATGCTGTCTCGGAGCCGTGCTCCGCGGCAAAAGCGGCGGCGCCGGGCGGCGGACAGACTCCGGGAAGCTCCGCCCGCCGATTTTGTAGCTTCCCGGATTTTTAATTTGGGCTACAAAATGTACCCGGCGTGGGTGGTTAATATTGCAAAAGCCATTTTCAAAATGTCAAATGAGTCTAGTCACCCTCCAAGAGCTTTGTGCACTTATCGTGAGTCTTTTCCATCACCCTAGCCATTGCTTATGATGGCAAGTTCGTTTCACCTGGCCTGTAGCCGTTTTCTCCCTGTTCTGGTCACTTGCTCCTCAAGCCAAATTATTTTTATGACATGATAATCATGCCATCTCGACTGAAGGGGTTAATCTATTGGATCTGCATGCTTCACTGCTATCACGTAGTCCAAAATATGGGCATTAGGCTTACTTTAGCAACCACACTTGACAGTGGGCAGTTTTGTAGGCTGGGTTTCTGGTTGTCCTTTTTTTTTTTTTTTGTAGTATTCAATTTTTCATAATATAATTTGTTCTGGCAATCACACTAGCCAGTAATAGGACCTGAACATGGAAACAGCATCCTTCCTGGAGCCGGCACTCTTCCAGTCATAGCTCACGAATTGTACATTCCATATTCGTTTAGTGATGGAAATAACTCAGAAGTCCCTTCCTAAATACCAATTGAGTCTAATTACCCTCAAGGGCTTTGTGCACCCATGGCAAGTCATTCCCGTCAGCCTGGTCTTCAGCTGAAATGCTCACAATGGCAAGTTTAGTCACCCCATGACGGCATGTTCACTTCACCTGCCCCCTCAACCCAAAGTTTTCCATTTCATGATAGTCACTCATCCTGATCATAGGGGTTAATTTATATTTTCTTGCTCTTTCATATACATGGTGGGTATTGTTGTTTTAGTTTTCGCTTCATATTAGCCATTCAATTATTAGCCTAATGCTGCGAGGAAGGCATATATGGACCTGCCATGCCCACTAGTTTAGCTTATTTTCTCTACAGCTAGATGGTTCCACAAGTATTTGGCCCGCTAACAAGTCGATTACTAGTACTACCTATCTCTGTTTACCATTCTCTTGATTTTCAGAAATGTTATCTTTTGCTTGCATTAGTAATTTTAACAGCATTGATGATGGTTATGATGTCTGTAATAAAGTAACAACATCAATATTGATGCATTAGTTTAAGGAATTATTTACAAAAAACTTGAGTAAATGTGAAAGCAGGTGAGGTAAGGAAAATCTACTAATTGAGTCCTTGGTGGCTTAGCACTTTTAGAACCATCTATGTCTAGAGACATTTCACAAAAGAAAACTTAAATGAACACTACATTTTCATGGCTAATTAGATTAACCCGTTGGATCCGATTGCGTCACGGAAAATCTTGGTGCCAAAAATATGGGCAGAGGGTTGCGCCCGAGATGTTCACCTAAGTAGTGAACATCCCATATCATCTCTGTGTAGTATAATAATTCATTGCAAGAAAAAAAAAATACTTGCGCCACTGGTCATGAAAATGCGCATGAAAATGGCCTACACCCTGGAGCCGGTGTTCTCCCAGTCCTGGCTTGTGCATTACATTCCACATTAATTTATTGATGGAATAATGCTAAAGCCCCCTTCTAAGCACCAAATGAGTTAAATCACACACTAAGAGGTTTGTGCACTCATGGTGAGTCTTTTCCATCACCTAGCCTTCATTTATGACAGCAAGTTCGCGTCACCGGCCCGTGCCATTTTGCCTGATGAGTATCTGGATTGTAGGGGTTAAGTAGCCATGAGATGTATTAACTACCAACTTATGTTGTATGGTAAGGCCATCAGAATGAAATTATTTAATATATAAAATTTGTAAGCAAGGTAGGTTTAAATTCTATCATTTCTTTAGTATTGTGTCAGAAATGACACTTCATCTCTAAATATATGCATAGCATATAGACTGTGATTTCTTACTCTGGATATTAACCGCAGGAATGTTGATCTGTATGCGTGCCATCCTGCAGTACATCCACGCCAAGCGGGAGTGGCACCAGGTCCCCCACAACTCTCGTCATCGTTTCTTCCTCTTCTACTGAGACAAGATGTAACAAAGAATGGCCTATATCACCTCTTTCTTTGAGTAGTCCGGCACCTCCCTTCAGATTTTTTATGGTGGCAAGAAATGATCAGAAGTAAACTTTGCTGCTCTATGGATTTTCTTTGTCTCTTGCCTAAATTCATGAGGCCTCTTGCTCTTCAGAAAAGAGGTGATATTGGTGTCTGTTGCCATGACATCTGCAAGGTGAAACAAGGAAGTGAAACTGGTTGAGCTTTATTTAGTAGATTACATGTAGGATGATCAGTAAGTTGCCGAGTGTCGCTGTGGGACATTTTAGCAATACTTGTCATTATTTTTTATTCAGCACGAGATAATTGCGTTTCAAACTTGTCCATCAGTGGGATTTGTACTTGGTTTATTTCATTGTTGCAAAAATATATTTTATTAGACTAGATATTGAAGATCCTTATAATTTTGGTAATGTCTTTCAGTTAGGCAGATATGAATTATTTTAATATATATATATATGGTATTAAGCTACATGAAATGGATCCAATGTTTCCCAATATTAACAGTTTCAGTAGGTAACAGATATTGGCTTCGTAAATTAATTGCTAAAAGATAAAGACTATAGATTATATATTATTCATATATTCATATATATTCATATATATCTCCTATCAGTTTACATACTCATCAAGCCATGAGTTGGTCTCCAATCACTTTACAGCCAGTTGGTTCTTCGTGCAATGCATTCTGTGCCTCTACTGTTACTGTTTTTAATGAGTCAGTAACCAACTAGGTACAAGGATCCTACATATGTCATTAAGTAATACAGGTGTGTATTATAAGTCATCTTGTTAATATTACGACATGTGAGTACAACAAATCTTTGTGTCATAGGAAGAGGAAACAGCTGCTGACGGGAGAAAATGTCACGGATTAAAGTTCAACAGCATTGAAAGATCAAAAAAAAAAGAAAAAAAAGATAGAAATGTTAAAAAAAGAAAAGAAAAAGACCTTGATAGTAGAGTATAGTTTTATCTCTAGAATCTGGTGCAGTTTAGTCTTATGAGCCAGTGCATCAAGACAGAAGGTAAAAAAGGAAAAAGAGTATTTTTTCATTTTACTTTTGAGTCTGCATTTCAAACTTAAAAGCTACGGATTTCTGTATTCATTTTGCATCATTTTTCATGAACTTTGGTTTTAGCATATAAAGTAAATGAATTTTTTCTCTATAATTAAACAGATTTAATTTTTTCATTATTATTGTACATCTTGTCATCAGTGGTTATTACGGTTTTTCAATTTGCAAATGCCGCTTAAGAAAATAATGAAGCACTTTGGTTTTTATTCCATTTCTGCGTGTTCATTGCTTTATTATTCCTTTATTATATCAACTCTTGGCATTTCCTTTGTAAAATGCCGTGAGCCGAATCACGAGTATTTATGCACAGCCTTCTTTATGGTATATCTTGAACGTCACTTGAATTCAGCATCACTTTTTCTTGAGTATTTGTTATGCTTTAAAATTTTATCTTTTTAAGATTGAAGTTCATTGGAATGCTAAACTAACCTTTAGCATGTTTGGTAGTATGGTAGTTTTACGAGACATTATACAGTTTATTGAAAAAGTTATACCCCCTTAGTGCATGAACACATAATCTTGGCAAATATATGTGAACTAGAAAATATACCAGTCCACAGAGTTTTATTTTTTTTGTTTTATTTTCACTATATAAAAAAAAAAAATCTTCATTAAACTTTACAACTCCAAATACATGATAACCTTCTCTTCCCTATTTTCAAAGACAAATTAAAGATGATTAACAAAGAAAGAGTATTGTACTAGCATCTTGACAGAGGCAGCAGTTACTGTTTTGGGTGTGCTCTTTGTGTGAAATGTAGAGGACATTCTCTCTTGCACATTTACAGCTGACATTGTACTGCTTGTTGTCTAGTTAGAGGTCAACGTGAAGCTTCTATGGCCCACTAATGTGGTTATGTAACATGCAAGTTGTAACGAAATTTCATTTTATTTGTTTATTCATTTGTTTTCATCTGAAATTTGAACTTTCGATCATAGAATGTTCCTCTTGCCTTTTGGGTTGGAGGAGAAAACGTTCCTCAAGTGGACACTTGCTTGTAAATATTAGCATGCCGCCCAGCCATCCACTTTCACTGGATGAAGGATATATATGTATATGTATTTATGTGTGTATAAATATATATATATATGTTCACATGAATAATAAATATCACACATATCTCACCATTTCATATATAAAGTAGAGCATCTAGTCAGCCGGTATTGTATGATTATATAATTGCTAGTAATCAGGAAAAGTGATGTGGTTTTTACAGATTTACTTTTGTTATTTAACATAAGCTTGTTCCTCCATTCCATTGGTTAAGATTGTCATGTATGGTAGATGTAGCAGTAAGGATTGTTGGAGACAGTCATTAACAGAAATAGAAAGAGAAAACATTATTTAATTGATAAGGAACCGTACATACTGAATAGGAAAAAAAAGGCACAGATTCTGTTCCCTTCCTCTTTTTTTCTGTGTGACTGAAACATACTGTAAGAATGAGAGCTCTAGAACAACATTTGCTGAATTTATTTATGTATAAAACTGCTTTTCTCCCTGTTCACATCGATGTAAAGGATGTCTCATCAAGAAGTAATTGAGCAGATTTTTTTTTTTTTTTTTTTTTTAGTCGAATGAATGGCTTTTATTTTAACTTAGTGGCACTGGTGTTGATTATACTGCATTGACAATTAAGATATGTGAAATTGAAAACTATCTAGTATTAATCTGGTTGAATGCATATAATTTTTCACGAAACACTTTTTGGTGACGAGGGGATTTGGGTTTATCATAGATGTTTTTAGTTGTGCAGTGCATGTAATCAATGTTTAAAAAAAAAGAGTTTATGACAGGGAATCAATGTTTCTTTTAAATGTGATGATGCGTATATGTACGCAAATAAAAACAAAAGTTTCACCAAAGAATTGGCCTTTGTTTTTACCCATGCTATGGAATTTGTTGGCACAGTGTGTGTGTTTGCTGAAATGGAAATGTTTTTTTCTTTTTAATGGTCTCATGGTAATAATGGACTTAAACTATTGTCATTGCACAATTTGTAAATAAATTTATATAAAAGTCTTAATGCTAATACCATAAGAATATTTAATACTTTCTTTTCACTTGCTTGCTTAGCATCAGTAATTCTGTAAGAAAGAACATCAAGGTTTTATAAAATTAACATGGTTTAGACAGATTTTATCAGTCTAAATCAGTGGTCCTTCTTGCTCATTTTATTCCAGGTCTCAAGAACACTTTTATAACTTCCAAATCAGGTCTTTCACTCAATATGCTGCCCTATAAATGAATTATTTCTCGTGGCTTCCCTAATATCAGTTGCTCCTTTGTCACCTCTGCTACTTGGCAAGTTTTAATGCACACAAACTTTTATTTTTACCTCACTGTTACAAGATAAGTGATCTAGTGATCTTGCTCTGGCCTATAACCCTTCTCTCGCCTTGTCACTACTTCTTCCATGTCATCTGCCTCTTGTCATGAATTACATAATCTATAAATGAGGAAAATTAACAAATACCGCATGTACTTTTATTATACAAGTTACATATGCGTATCTTACATCTGACATACTTTTTACGCTTCAATGGCAATTCAACATT